TGGTTTAGCCCAGATCAAGTGAAAGAAATAGACACCAAACCGGGTACATATATGTGAGTTTGTCCACGTGAGTGTTGTTACTAAAATGCACATTTTACTCTATAAGGGCATGCGTTCTTTAAGACCTGAAGCGTATGTTGGCCCTCCCATGCTGAGTCAGTTAATTTTTGGTGGAACTATTCTTCTCCTATGATAGGTATTTATGTATATTTTCCTTGTTTTAAAAACTGAAATACACCTGAAATACCACTGGGATTTCTGGCAACGTTCAACAAGAATGAATTTGTTTGGTTCTTTTTTGATCAAACAGCAATAGGCAATCTAGGTTGCCAAGTCTGACCCACTGCCAAGGTTGCCTTTTCTTAACAGATGATTTGAAATCCTCTTTAGAGGACTAATTTCTGATTATCCCATTGAAATAGCATGACTCTTACATTTTCTTAACTGGAAAAAGAGATGAATGCTTTCTCACCTCCAATTAATTTAATCCACTACTAGAGGTAACACGATGAACAGTTTCTCTTAGACAACCAAGAATATTTTCTTCCCAGCTTTGTGACTCTAGCTTTCAACTATTGAGTATCTGTGTAGGTAACCTCAATTGGTCTGTGTTTCACGGAGCTGTGTATGTTTTAAGGGTCCCATTTGTCTTTTTTCAGAAGTCCAGAAAGCCTTGCCAATAAGGAAACGCTTAGGGAAATGTTTAGTGTTATCTGGCAAATGTTTTGTGTTGCATGCATTAAGAGCTACTGTTAACAGATAAGCACATATCTTATTGGAATATTTTAAGTCCGTTTCCAAGCAAAGAATTAGAAGTTTATAAAGAAGTGCCTTTCTTGAACAGCTTGAGCTTTTTTGTGGTAGTGCAGTAAAAACAAGGGAGGCTAGGTGCAACGTCATGGAAAAAGTCACACTGAGGGTACCCATGGCAGTCCTAGGTGGACTACTGTTGCACCAGACGATAGGAGATACAGGGCAGTAAGAAATTAATGAGCTTCTCCCGAAGGTGTTGCCTTTACTGTACTTTGGTTGGACAATCAACTGAATAAAGTTCAGAAAGCATCCAGAAGTGGTCGTTCCCGTCCCCCCCATCAGCTCTACAGCTCACACATTAGGTGGGTTTGCCCTGTCAGTGGGATGCCTTAAGAAAACACTAATAGCTTCCAGCTGGGTGGAAAATCAAAACGTTTGGGGGCTGACAAAACTAGCAGATTTGAATTTGAAAGCCCAGCTAATGCCTCCATTTTTATTTACCACTCGCCCATAAAAGATTATTTTCCAATATGTCAGCCTCATTTGGTGGCCAGTGGTCTGAAAGTGAAAGTGGAACAAGCAAGCGGGGAAATCTGGACATTAGTGAGTCCGCCCTTTCAAGCTGGTGTGCCACTTTGTGGAATGGCCTTCCCTGAGATTGGGGGGGTCCTAATGACCATTCATCAATGCTCGTTGACTGATCATTGAGTGCCTTCTCATTCAGTTTATCAAGTCTTGCACATAAAAAGTCAGAATAAGCATTATTCAGCTTTGTTAAAGCCAACTAGGAGTAAAATGCTCCATTTGAACCCATTTTGCCCTTGGTTTTTCACTTTGTTAATGCAGTCCTGCTTAAATGAGTGCTTTTATTGGGTCGGTTAGAATATCTGAAACTATTAATTCTCTTGTATTGAATAGCTGGTGGCAGGCCAGAGCAGATGGGGTAGAAAACTATTTGGTTGGGTGTATTGCTTTCAATTAGGATCAATGAGGTTTCAGCTCCTTTGAATTAACTCACTTAATACCCACTGTGTGAAGTCACAATGTATCACAACAGTCTGCTATAAGTAGAGCGGGAAGTTGAGAAGTCCTACAGAAAAGCTTTGAGTTAAATTCTTCCTTCACTGTTAATAGAGAGCTTTCATTAACTACAGATGCGTTTCAGTGGACTTCCAGTCCCTGTTATTAAGCTAGGTTTGTGCAAAAGGCAATCTTTGTACTTTTAAACGGTGATCATTTGGAATTTCTCATTTCCATCAGGTCCATGTCTTAGTGACCTTATATCATCCACTGCATAAAAATCTTTTTTTCCCCTTCAAATATATGAACCTGGAGGCTGTTTTGCCTTCTTTACTCATTCTCAATATTAAGAGTTGTAGAGGACAATTTAAAATTATTTTGTAAAGTATTTTGAATGATTGTCAAAGAAGGAGCTGATTCCCACCCAGGAAGGTGTAGTGTAATGCGCACCATAAAGAAGCTGGCTGAAGATTATCTTCTGGATTTTTCACTCTCTTTGTATCCCTTTCATTTTGGTATTAGACATAATACCGACTCTTGATACAGCAGAATTGTTCATATATTAAAACCACTGCCTTTCCTTTCTTAGCGGAGAATAAAACCGTTTTACAGAATGGGCTGTCCACCTTTGCTTGGCTTCCTAACATTTCAGACCTGGTGCAAAAACTGTTAGGGCAAGCTTTAAGTGACTGCATTAAAAATGGGGGTGGGGAGAGCAAATAAATATCCACAGATATTTACTCAGGGAGGACTGCCAAATGGGTTGCAGCCTGCCTCAGTGTATTAAATAATGAGAGGGAAAAACTATTCATGCAGCTGGCTGCTTGAGAAAATGCTGAAGTAGTCTCAGATGCACAGGCATTCTGTTAGCCCCTTCCACGAGCAGACTTCTAGGTGAGAATCTCCAGGGATCCAGGTTTTGTTGACGTGGATCAATTTAAATGGCAATTACTGTAGTCAGATAACAGCTTAAAAAGGCTTTTTACACACAGAAAAAAGATGCATAATCACACAGCATATGGAAGTTCAATTTCGTGAGCCGTGGTCTGTGGATTTACAATGTACTGATATTAAGACCTACTTTTAAGAGTGAATATTGTTCGGTTTTATTAAAATGCGTCATACCTTTGACACGTTACTTTCTACTCTGAAGCTGATTCAGGCTGCATCTATGTTGATGAAAGGTTGCGTTTCCAACTGTGAAAATGTTTTTTCCTTTCATGTAGAGTACAGCATTAAAAAAGAAAAACAACACAACAAATACAATACTAACTGACTGGTTTTAAATAGTGCATCAAATAATAAGAAGAATGGTAAATTCCTTAAAGGCCTTGGTGGCGCAGACTTTGCTTGTTATTTTCTCCCTTTCCCCACTCCGCGTTTCCCCCCCCTTCATGAAAGCAGTCTGTCATGACAACATTTTCATGTTACGGTGTTTCTCTCTTGGGCTCTCCGACACTCAAAAATCCATTATAGAGAACTTCATTACAGTAGATACCTGATGAAGATGGAGAAAAGACCTGCCTCAAGTAGCAGACGCGTTGCATTGTTAGTGCCGGGGTGTTTACTGGGGCGAGGGGAGCTGCTCCTTTGCTTCTTTGATCGCCTTGAATTTGCCAGTCCTGTGTTTGGAATCTCTCTGCTATTTAAGTGAAGCTTAAGGGTGGCACTTAGATAGCGTTAAAAAGTTATTGTGGAAATATCAGTAAATTAAGTGACTCATTTGCTTCAAGTGAGAAATATTCATGAATTCAGTCCGGATATTGGAAGGGTTGTTATTTTTTGCTTAATTTCGCATGTGTGTCCTTTTCCTAACTAGATCTTTATCAGGCTCTGTGGCAGCTAGAGGAAGGAAGAGGAAGGCCTGAAAGCAGAGTTGTTTCTGCGTAGTAAAGGCAGAAGATGGCATAATGAAAATCAGGGAGATGCATAAATAAGTACAAAAGGATGAGTCTTGTACTGACAAGAATGCCGCTCCTGAAGATATCGCTGCCTTTCTATATGGGTTTGAATGTATACTGCAAGGGCAAAGTCAAAACCAGGACCTACGTGCTAATTGCTAGAGAAATACTCATTACTAAAGGGAGAAGCTTTTGCAAGTGCTAAACGGGAGCAGAGTTTTAAAAAGAAGATATTTTTCCTTGTGCCTGGAATTTTGTGCAAGGCTATACGTGCTACAGAAGGCATGCGAGTCAGGCGTATGTTTCTCCTAAGAGGCAAAGATGTTTTACAAAGGACTAAAGAGGGACTGCTGAGAAGAAAATAGCCAGCTTTAGATAAAGCACTATAACAAAGACTTGTAGTTTTATGTATCATGGTGTCCATTAAAGCTTAATAGGGAAGAGTGCATTGAACCTAGGCAGGCATACGTTATTCCTGTGAAGGATAAACATTTAAGGGGTGTGCAAAATCAGAAATTGGGAGGACATGATTGTTTAGCTTTTGAAAAAGCTTTACAGGGAAGATTTTGTTTTCATCCCCCATGGATCACCATGCAAGGTAAAGGAGAGTAAGCTGCAAATGTTTGGAACATATCAATGCAGGAATCCCAGGGGGTTAAAAGCACTATAGTAAAATAAAAGTGGTCTGCTTTCTAAGTGTGTTCTATTTTACACATACTACTGAGAATCTGAGAAAGGGAGTGATTTTGATACTCCGTTCACTATAGTAAAACAGCATAATAATGACAAAAGTGTGGGGAGGGGAGGAAGAGGAGGGGGGACCCTCTTGTATATCCTTGTGCACGTTTTGAATTTCCAGCTAAATAAACAAACGTAGTCCTATGGAGTGCAAAATTATGGCTGTTAAAATAAAGAATGAATTTGTTTCCACTTTTGGAGGAGAGCGGATTCGAAGCGATGCTTTTTTCTTGAATTGCTGTCAGCAGAAGAAAGGGTTAACTTTTAAAGAAAAAATGAATAATTCAGTGTTTGGCTTATCACTCTGCATTTTACTTTCTATTCTTTGGTCATCTGGAACTTGGTGTGAAAGGTAGAGTAAAAGGAGTCAGCTGAGGGGAGCCAGGGTTGTGATAATTTGCACACACATCCCTGTCATTGTTCTGCCTGAAGAGACAGGGCTGGGTTCAAGGCCACATGTGCTCCTGTCATCATTCACATTTCTGCTCCAAGTGCAATACAGAGTGTCAGCTCTCCATCTGTCTTTGCCTGGCAAACGCACGCGCCCAGCATCCTGCCTCCAGCTACGCTGCCACAGCCAGTTCTGATGGCCCTCCTCGCTTCTCTCTGTTCATTCCAGAACAGGAGGCACTGAGCCCTAAATAAGCTCGCTTTTAGGAGAGAGCCATTTACAGTGTGGTATATTTTATCCAAGGATGCCTGGTGAGTTGAAATTATTGCGGCTCTTTCGGTTTTAAATGAGGAAACGCTAATTGTTTTTTGATAGTATTTTTTCTTTTCTTTTCTTTTCTTTTTTTTTTTTTTTTTTTTTTTTTTCTTTTTTAAATTTGGGGGGGGTTTTGAAGTGTTGAGCCATCTCTCAATATGGAATCTTGAACTGTAGAGCGCTTTTTTTTTTTTTTTTTCCTTTCTTTTCCTCTTTTAATGTAGAGGGTGATTTGCAAGCTGATACGGGTACGGAGCGATCGTGGATGCTAATTCTGTTGTGTATATGTTTGGGGGAGGGGAATTTGTGCGAGGGAACTGCCAGAGATGATACTTACAGCAGGACTGGATGTTTCAATGAAAAGGGATAGAAATAGCAGAAAGTCACCGGCTTTGTGGGTGCGGGTCTCTGCACAGGGGGTCATTTTTAGCGAAGAGAAACACAGCTTCGGGCTGGCTTTCATGACTGTCAGCTGTACCTTGAATCTGCAAACATTTGATCGGTAGAGATCATTCACAGCATTCACCCATCAGCTGAAATTATCTCTGTGAGAAGCTGTTTATGTTACAGAAGTGAAGGAGATTTATAAAACAAATTATTCCAGTGTTGTCCTAAATCGTAGTCCTTAACTGTCACCAGGCAGATCACTGAAATATGTTGATTCAAAATAAAACAATAAAAAAAATCTGCTGAATTGGAGGAATTGCTGTGGAGCTGGAAATTTTAATAGGTCGGTTTCCTCAGGAAAATATTATCCTTGGATCTTATGATCGCTTGTCTAATTGATAAGTATTATTGCCAATGAAAACGGTGCTTCTATGCAGGGTGATTTGTCTGAGGGGTTTTGTGAGATGCTTGACCACGACCAAGTGGATTGAATTTGGTGTGTTTTGGTTTTTTGTTTTTGTTTTTCCTTTTTTTTTTCTTTTTTTTTTTTTTTTTCCCCTCCCCTTTGGTAAGGACTGAAGAAAGCCATGTGCCTGATTATAGCAGTCTGTGTCTCTGGATAAAAAAAGACAGGGCTAGAGATCCTACAGCTGGCTGGTTCTTGTGGATTATTTGGGTAGGACAGGCAGAAGAGGCTACGCTTGATCACAGAGAGAGTCTGTACACCTCGCAGATGGTGTTTTGAAACAGTATCTGCCAGTTTGCTGCAACCACAGTTGCATGTAGGTATTGCCAGTTGTTGGAAGAATGTTTTCCTTTTAGGATTTTTATACACGGTCATACGCTACTGCTGGCATGTTTGCTGATCCTCTGGTTGTAACAAAAAAGTAGGCTCTGTTTGCTCAGTGCACAAGGCTAAGAGGATTTATATGGTTGAAATATGGGCAAATTAATTTGCATAGATAACAACTGAGGACTGTGAAAGGTCAATTTAACCCTTTAAACGTCAAATTTGATTTGCATGCATTACATTCCTGAGAATGTGGTCTTCATTAGAAATATCACGGTAATTCATTAATTTGGAAAACTGTGCATTCTGCATAATACGAATCCACTGATGTTTCCCTTATATTTGTATGAAACTACTCGTGCAGTTTACTGTTCCTGTGGTTTATGAAGATATTTAAATGTACTAAAATGACACAATCTTATCAGTTTCAATCCTTGTGTGCATTATTTGGGGCTATTGGCAAACACTGTTGGAATGCCTAGAGTGGAGGTTTTTGAAAACCTATTAAGCCTTTGTCATTTAAATTACTTAATCTACCTGCTGGTTAAAATTTCATGCGTCTTTAATCAAAATGGCATGCACTACGCTCGAGTATGTATACCCTTATCGATACTCGTTAAGCTTTACCGTTAAATAAATCTTTAATTTGCAGCATTCTCTTAAAGCAGTAGCAAGCAAGAAGTGTGTTTTAATGTCAGCTCGGAGTGTTAGAAAACCTTGCACTTGGATACAGAGAATACACTAACAGCTGTGACTGGGAGCATGTGCCAGAATGGAGATACTTGAACAGATCTGACACTTGGCTATTTTTGACACCCATCTGCACTTTTTTACTCTCCTCTAGGATGAACTGCCTCTCAATCTGTTCGCAGCATATTTTAGCCCTTTAATATTGTGGTGTTGGGTTTTTTCAAATGGGCATTATTAGCCATCTGGGGCAGATTTTGTATTTTAAAAGTAAGCACATTATGTACAGGAGATTAAAAGGATGTGTATTTTTATGTAATTTGATATTATGTCAGTGCCTTTTGTGTATGTGTGAAGTCCCGATTTCAGAAGCATCCCTTTAGTGATTCTGACATCTGAAGTCCTCCTTCTTTTGGGGAAAGAACAGGAAGTAATAAAAGCGGGTTCTGGTTTATGTGTAGCGATAACACTTTTACACAAAATAAATTTGCCCTTCAAAGATGAACTGCTCGTACTGTTATAATTGCAACTGACCGCTCACCTCCTCGCTTCCCTGTCAGGGCAAAGCAACAGCAGCAAGGCTTGCTAATGAAATGTTGTAAAAGCGATTCAGATCTCTGTTAAGGCACTACTGCAACTCTGAGAAAAGTCTCTGGAAAGATAATCCTGTTAACATGCAGCTTGCAGTAACCAAGTTAACCATTTTGTCATTCTATGTAGTGAACTCTAGGAAGTGCTTATCTCTAAATAATTGATGCTGGAGGAACAGTGTTCAAATCTAATACTGTACACCGGTTCATCTGATTACTGTGAATGTGGTGTTTCGTTTGGTTTGGTTTTGTTTTGTTTTGTTGGTGTGTTGTCGCCCCCCCCGTCCGTCCGTGTCCGCCCCCCACCCCCACAGCTGTTTATTCCGGACTTTATTTATGAAACATTACAAATCTATCAGTCATTTTATAGTACTTTCAAAGAACAGATGTTGGCCTACAAAATGCTTTATTATTGCCCATGGCAGTATTCAGCATGGTTTCCTTAAAAGGACAATCAGTGATCACAGTCATTGTAGCCCAGAAATAATGCTACTCTTTCAGAAGATGGCCTGGTATTAGGTCAGACCACCCTTTCTTTACTTCTGCTCTCCAGATGTGGCTGCAACTTTTTTTTTTTTAAGTTCATGTTTCAAAACAAAAAAAAAAAAAAAAAAAAAAAAAAGGGTTTGTTTTCAAAATCTGGTTTTACTTAGGATATCTCCATCCTGGAGTGCATTTCATAAATTGCCCACATATTTTTCTTAGCAGAGAACTTAACTGGCTGTAATTTTTAACACATGGCCACATCATGTGATATTTTCAAAACATTTGCACATAGCTTTAAGAAGGTCCCAGCAGAAATGATCCATCATCTCACAGCCAGCCCGTTTCTTAACAGCATATCTGCATTTTCCATTTAGCAGAGCTATATATTATTAGCTTACATTTTGGGTAGTAAAACAGTGCATTGCTGATTGTAAAACATGGACTTTATTATCTGCTGAAAATTGATTTGGCATTTATAGCCACTGTGTACTAGACTGGCTTTCTGGTTTTAACATTAGTGCTTGCAAGTGATGATTTGTTTAAAGAACAGAAACAAAATTGCCATGGACATAACTGTTAGTGTCCTAGTAACGGAACATTTGGATTATCCACCTGTTTTTTAAATACTTGCGTCTAAATGCTGTTACACAGCAAAAGTCTCCTAACAGTCCATTAACCAACTTGTTCTGTTCTAAGCTGCAGTTGCTATGCTGTTATATTAGGACAATTCTGTGTCTTACAAAACAAGTTTCCTGCCAAACGGGGGAAATGTGTCTGGAAATGCTTAAGTCCGAGTGTTAACCTTGCATCGTTATTCCAATCACCCTGCATAATGACTTTATCTTCTTCAGGATTCAGATAGGAGTGAAAGGCTCTGTCCCTAAGAGGACTGTGGGTCACAAGGTTCTTCGGATACGTATTGTAGGGTTTGGGAGACGATGTGTAATGATTTGCTTTTCAAAGTATTAAAGTTTCTTCTTCTTTTATGGTAGTAATAAATTCCAAAGTCTGCATGACATTATTGCTCTTACTTTCAACCCATGGGGCTGTGAACAGCATCTTGCTACGTATGCATGGAAAGTAACTAACGCATCATGGGATGCAGATTGTGCTGCAGAAATAGCTGTTGATATATATTTTTAAGCACGGTCCCAAA